GCTCAGGTCCTGATCATCATCTTCAGTGGACTTAGCCGTGATCTCTGCGTGCTGGGTTGACAGGTTGACGAGAGCGTGTGTTGGACGTTTTGACTTCTTGAAGTCTTGCTCGGTATGGAGGAAACCCGTTCCCGTTTGCGTTTTTTTCCTGACCAGGTCCTTGTACTGAACATCATCCTGCTCAGACTTCGGCCGCGGCCTCTGAATGTTTGAGTGGTCAGCTTTTTGATCTCCAAAATCAATCTTGAGCTATTGTTCGAGGAGTGCAACCGCGAACCCTCCGCAGGATTCCCGATGATTGAAAATCGCAAGCTGGGTTGAGTGTGCGTTTTTTTTTAGGTTTTTGAGTTTTTTGATTGTGAAGGTTATGTTGTGGGTTAGAGCTGACTTGCTCTATTTGTCGCCCAGGTTCAGCTGATCCTCAAATCCATCCAGCTCCACGCGTGGGGCCTCTGAGGAACTGCTGGCATCCTGTGATGTGTGACTTGCAAGTGAAACTTGAGTTGCTGTAGCCATGCACCTTCTCAAAAATCTTTCCAGGTTCCAACTATCAATCCGTACGCGGTCTATGGCATGATGAGGTTGCACATGGTTGTGGAATCATACACCAAGTCACATGAGTACAATTTTGATTTGTGGCTGATCGGTCACTCTGCTTCATGGCATAGAAATAAAAGAGTGTTTAGTTTAATTTCAGAGTTCGTTGACATGGAAGACATCCTGGTCGAGCGAATGGGCTGGATCCCTCGTGCTTGGTTAGCTCGTTGGAGATTGAGCTCTCGGCGGGAGGGGGGATATATTTCGGAGAGGTCGCTTTATGTTCTGCAGCAGCACATCCGCGAGTACTTAACTCACCCTTCCCATTTCACATCAAGTTGCTGGTCAAAATGAGGATTCAGCGAACCAATCCCGCAACAGGTGAATGGGAGGAAGATGACCGGCCCCGGGCGTTGGCGGTGGGCGCCGAGTTGAGCTACCATCATCCTTGACCAATCAGAAAGGGCTCTGGAACCCTCAGGTTGATGGCAATTGCTTCCAGTGGTGCGTGAGGGCCGCTTTCTTGGATATTGGCAGTTTGGACAATAATAAGAGGCGTCACACGGTTCGATGCTCAGGGCCTCCATTCTACACAACATCTCGCAAACGAGGACGTCCTGGAGATGATGATCCTCGTCAGCTTGTGGACGTGGGGCTGGACTTTTCCGCCGTGAACAAGGATGTTGTGACGATTGAAGCCATCACCGCCTTCGAGCTTGCCAATCTCGGCGCTGTGGAAGTTGTTGTGTACCAGTGGGTGGACCGGCTACATCGCGGCCAGAGGCATGTCGGAGAAACTCACTTGAGGTCTCCCCCTGAAGAGGTGATTCAGGCTAGGAGGGATGACACTCGCCTTGTTGTTCTTCTACTACACCAACAACACTACATCCTGATCTACAACTTCAATGCTTTCCTCGGCCAACGAAGCAAACATATCCAGCTCAAGCAGCGTCGCTTCAACCACGTGCACTCATGGCCTATTTGCAGACAGAACTTTAAATCAGAGTTGGCTGTGCGGAATCACTTCAAGGTCGACGGGTCAGTGTCGATCTGATTTCGAAGGCAGGCTCTCTAAGATCAGCATGCCCACGCCGCAAAACAGCACGTTGCAGTATCGCACCAAGGCTACTTGCGAGTTAGCCCCTTTGATAGTCTATGCAGATTTCGAAGTCTTCAGCCAGGACTATGCGTCGGGAACTTCAGCTCTGGGTTGTCAAAATAGGGTTGTTGCGGTTGGCTATGCGGCTGTGGGCATGTGCGGCTATGAGCCACCCGAAGAACATCGCATGAGCATGATTCACGCCAGGCATGGTGAACCTGAGTGCTCTGTGGTTCTCAAGCTTATCTTGGCAATGATGAGTCTTGCTGACCACTTCAAAGACTGGAGGCTCCATCGGCGAAACCTGGTCTGGCTGCCTGGACAGAGGGAGGCTCATCACAGTTCCGAGACGTGTCGGGAATGTGGGAGGACATTCGACTCTGAGACCAAAGGGCTCGGCAAGGTTGCGCATCACGAGCATGGTAGTGGGCTTTTTCTGGCATCACTATGCCAGGATTGCAACAAAGCAGCTCACAAACCTAATCAGGTCACCATCTGCTTTCACAATGGGGGTCATTATGATTTCCACTTTGTGCTTCGGACTTTCTCGAAGTTGACGCATGCCATCTCCAGTGATTTGAAGGGTCGTGAACACGATCCTGGCAACTCCGTCAAGTCTCAGGACTGTCAGAAGCAGCGGCGCAAGATCAGAAAGTTTGGCGTCAAAGAACTTGCCAGGAAGGTTGAAAAGGTTGGTCTGCGATGCTTGCTGGATTCCCTACCAGGCGATGCTGTCAACGCGCTCAAGAATTTCAAGGTCACGACTCTGCGGAAGAGCGGGGAAACGAACCTGGTCATGAACATAGGGCCCCTGTGTTTTATCGACACGATGAACTTCTGCAAAGCCGGGCTAGGGAAACTCATCGAGTCTCACAGGAAAGCTGTCCTGAAGCCCGCCTCCCTCGGCAACATGACGGTGGTCTCAGGTCTGGAGACAGCTTTCCCCCTCAAAGCCTCGAGACATCCATTATTGCGGAACTCGAATGAAGATGTCTGGTCCGCCCTCCTCAGAAAGCTTCCAATGCCATGGGACTTCTTCTCGGGCTGCGACGACTTTGACAAGCCACCTGTATGGCCCCTGGCTTGCTACCATAGCAGGCTCTCTGGCGAGTGTCCGCAGAAAGACTACGGCTGCTTCAGGAGACCGCGAACTTCATGGGCTTCACTCGTTTCCAGGATGTGTTTGATGCCTACCTGGCCCTGGACATCACGGCTTACGCCGACCTCATGCAGATCTTCAGACGGCACTTCTTTGAGACGCACCATCTTGACCCCTTCCTCTACCCTACACTGCCGTCGGCGGCGTGGGATGCTGCTCTCCGGGACATCACACAAAGGAGGGACAAAAAGTTCCGTCTCATCACCAATCTCGAAATCTACGCTGACGTGCGAAAGGCCTTGATGGGCGGTTTGTGTGCGATCTTCAGGCCGCACAGTGAGGCTAATTTCGAGGGCATGGAGGGATACAACGCTCAGATCTCCGCGAAAAGCGCTCTTTACTTGGACATCAATAGCATGTATCCCCACGCCATGACCAAACATTTGCCGTTCTCAGGAGGCTGTGCTGTGAAGCTCCCAGAATGTGAGGGCTTGAAGCTGGAATGGCTGCACGGCATCCTTGATTCTTTGAACCCGCTCGAGGACCGCATGGAGACCATCTACTTGGTTTTCGTGGATTACGATTTCCCGGAGGAATTCCACGATGCCATTGATTGGCCTTCACCTTGCAGGATGGCAGTGCCTGCCGAGGAAGTCGGACCCTACAACAGGGATGTTGTTCGAGGCCGCAAGCCCGTGGAGAAGCTGGTGCCTTATCTAGGACTCCATCAATGTGAAGGTATACATGCCAAGCGCCTAGCATTTTTGCGCAATCATCTTGGAGCGCGCATTTGGAGGGTTCACAAGGTTCAACTCTTGGCCCTTGCTAAAATCATTCATGGATCGTTCCTATGCATACAGGCGGGAGCTCAAGGACGAGGGCAGGGATACTGAGCAGGGCTTTGTCAAGCTCACGGTCAACAGCATCTACGGAAAGACGGTGCAGAACCAGGAACGCTTTCACAACAGCACTCACTACTTCGACCCCGTGTCCTTCAGCCGGGCTCAAGCTGGCAGGCCTGTTATGGACTTTGGCACCGACATCTTCGAGCGCGATGCCTTCATGGGCACTGTTTACAGGGTTCGCAAAGCTAAGAGCAATGTGAATCGCAGTCCTGTGCAAGTTGGATGGGCTGTCTTGGAGGAGTCCAAGCTCGACCTTGCCATCAAGTATTGGGTTGGCCTCAAGTCCGCGCTTCCGGTCCTCGTGTTTACTCGAGCTGTTTTGCAAAAACTACAACATCTTTGGTTTTGCTTGGCATGTCGTTTTTCCATGGACATGGTTTTTCTTTGGGGCATGCGAACTTCATTCTTTGAGACTTTTGGTACAGTCAGCTGACAGCGGCGGCCGTGAAGTGCTCGAACGGCTGTTCTGTTCGTTTTGCCCTCCCTCCTCTCCCTTGGTGCACTCCAAGGCCGCTTTCGCTTCCGGGACATACGGTTTTGACATCACCGGTCAAAGATCGGTGGCTTTTGCGATCGCTGATCCAAGATCGGCTCCTTTTTAATATTGCGCGGCAGAATCCAAGCAATGTCGGGCATAACTCGTGTGCTTGTTTCCATTGCCGGGGGGCTTTATGTTAGCTGTCCTCGGTAATGATCTATGCTGATTTGTGTTACTTACCGGCGACATCCCACCACTGCCAAAACGAAGGCTGGTCCGAGTGTAGTGCGAGGGTCTCCGTGAGTTGATTGAATATTTCATATTTTCATATATGTGATATGCTTGAGTCCTTTGTTTTACGGAACATATATCACCTTTTGCTTTGGGAGACTTTCGATTTCATTCCGCGGCATCCCTTTTAGAGGGAGCCTTGCTTTTGGTTCGCTCAACCCAAAGTGTTTTGTTTTTCTGATCAACATTTTCTCCCATGCCCT